ATCTGCATCTACACTTTCGCATTGGTGTTGCTTTTGCTTTGCATTGCCGTTGCTATTGCTCTTGCCTTTGCTATGGCCTTTGCCGTTGCTGTTGCTGTTGTTGTTGTTGTTGCTTTTGCTTTGCTATGTTAAGCTATGCTATGCTATGCTATGCTATGATTTACTGCGCTATGTTATGCTATGCTATGATATGCTATGCTATGCTATGCTAATGCTGCGCTAAGCTAAGTTGAGCTAGGCTAAGCTAGGCTAACCTAAGCTAGGCTCGGCTAAGTTAAGCTCAGCTAGGCTAGGCTAAGCTAAGCTAGGCTAAGATGAAATAAACTAAGCTAAGATTAGATAAGCAACGCTAAGCTAAGGGGACGTAACTGGGGGAGCCGCGGGGCGGATACTGGGGGAACCGCCCGGGGCGAGCCCCACTGCCCGGCCCCTTTTAAGAAAGAGAATAAGAACCCTTCTAGGCAGAGCCTAGGTAGGGAATGAAGCTAAGCTAAGCTAAGATAAAATAAGCTAAGCTAACATGAGATAAACAACGCTAAGCTAAGGGGACGAAACTGGGGGAACCGCGGGGCGGATACCGGGGAACCGCCCGGGGCGAGCCCCCACTGCCCGGCCCCTTTAAGAAAGAGAGTACGAACCCTTCTAGGCAGAGCCTAGGTAGGGAACAACGCCGTGAAGAAGACTCGACCAAATGAAAAGATCGACAAGCGGGGCTTCCCAAACGGGATCGAATCATGGCAGAACCTCACATGTTGTTTGTCACGACGCCCAAGACTAAATGTACGCCTGTTTCAGATTGTGATTATTTCTACCGTTTCTGGTGACAGCCGTTAGACGGGGTGGGGTTGGGCCGAGGGTAAGGGTAACGCTTGGGCGAGGTGCACCACTGCGATCGCCGTAGTATGAGCGCGAACACGAACATCAGCAACCAGCATCATGGAAAAAGGTGGTCCAGACCCCCCCACCCACGTACTATCGTTACTGTTACCTTTGGGGGGGGGGGACCTGGGTGACGACCGTTACGCGCCAAAGGATAAAAACAGATCCTTCTTCCGGGCGCCTCGGACACGTGTAGACATCTTCTCGGAGAAATTGCGGGGAAGCCTCCCGACGGGCTTCTTGGAAGGCCGGGACCCTCTTCTCATGGCCCCGATTCTCCACTACTGCACCCCACAAACTTGCAACGCATGGCCCTCCGCACATCGAAGGATTGAATTGTCTGTCTCTCGGGCACGCACCCCACCAAGCAAAACTCACAGAAGAGACGCCGAAGTTCGCCGGACTTCTGAAGCGGACAGGCCGCAGGTAGCTGCCACAAAAAGAAACATGTCTCTGAAAAGCGCTGGCACACCACAGAGGCGGAAAGGGCAATAAAACCAAAGCACCGACGCGAGGCCATGGGGGTTGGACCAAAGCGCGGTGGCCTAACAGGCGACCTGTATACGTAATCAGTCTCAAGCAACAGAAGTCAGGAGGGGGAGGGAAATGAAGGAGTGGAGAACACAAATGACTGAACAAACTCTGCGACCTGCTTTGGAGGACCATGACCTTTCGTATGAGCACCACGAGCGTTCGTCTGAGACATCGAAGGCTTCGCGGCGCACTGGGGCCAATTGCGCGCTGGAGATCCTCGAGGCATGAGCAAGGCCTGCCCATAACTCATAACACTGCGCTGGCAAGGTGAAACTGGACCATAACCCCAGTTAAGCCTTCTGCGGCAACTCGTGGGAGCCTCCCATGCCATCTTGTTGGCTCTTGCGCATCGACGCTACGACGTACATCGAGGCTGATCGACGCCAATCGACGCCACATCGGCGCAGCCTTATCGATTACCAAACGCTAATCGACGCTAGTGCACTCGAAAAACGGAGTTACGGAAGTATGCAAGGCTCCCATGAGTTGCTATCGAAGAAGCCCACGTCCCCCGTCGCCAGCGGGGGGAAAGGGGTGGGCACCGAGGGCCGCCAGGACTCGAACTCTCAGCACAGGTCAACATCCGAGCTGTGTTAAGAGATTTCGGGCCCGATGGCCCTCTGGAAGAAAGCCCGCGCACGGAAGTCCGCAATACTCAGGACAGTATCTGCCCTCTCCGTCATCCCATAGAGAGCGCAGGGAGGGACAACGGAGGATGGTAGCAGAAGAGGCGCTCCTGGAAGGAGGACGGAGGATGGGAGCAGAAGAGGCGTTTCTGTGACGTCCTAAAACTGTCCTGAAGATGTCCCAAAAAGAGGGCCGAGTCCTCAACCTCCCGCAAAACTATCTGCAATAATCTCGCGAACTCTCATGCCATCAAACCCTCAACCAACTTATTCCGTGCAAAGGCAAGAAGAGAGGCGCACCATGTGCAAAGCGTGTGCCACTATCCACAAGAGATTGAGCCCCAGAAGCTGTGGAGGGAATGCTCGACGGTCGCGGGGGGGGGATGGAGAGAAGACAGAAGAGATGTGGTGGTACAACATCTGGCCAGCACGGCAACCATCTGGCCGACAAGGCTAAATGCGGTGAAACGTCCAACGCATGGTCCACAGGTCTCTCTACATCCATCACTCCACATTCGGAACCATCCCACTTCAATGCGTATCTGTCTCTCTCTCGCTCCCTCGCCCTCTGTATCATAACCAATCGCGCCATCCAATGTTACATTTGCTACTGCACGTTTTAATGCCATGCGGACGCTTGCATCCTTAGCACGATATGCTATGTACAGATGCCAAACGCCGGAAACAACGAAACCCAAACATGTGTCACCTAAGGGGGGCGCACTTTGTCACTTCCGCCAACCTGCCTGCGGAGCCGCCCACGTTTCACTTCCGCCGCCTTTCCGCTTGCTCCCACGGATTAAGAAGTGCGCCGAGGACGAGGCTTTTTTCTAGAACGCAATGGCTTTTTCTGGAACGCCCTTTCTACTCACGCCACATGGCAATCCAGTCTCCATAAGAAACAGCCCTCGCCGACTATCCCGCCGACGACGATCGAAAATAGTGCTGGGTTCGTCCCTCCCAATGCAGGTATGGGTCTCTCATGGCGCCGCCTAACCACATCAATCAGAGTATTCCGAACCAGAAGCATTCGAATCACGCCTCGCCACAAACGCTGTAATATTTCAAACGCAATTCTGTTCACCAGCGCGGACCCCGAACAGAGAGTTTTTGAATTACAGGTACAGGGAACAATCGTCGTGGTGAAATCTATTTCACCAGAAAAAAAAACATCAGTGGATGGTTTGCATGTTTGGCAGGCGCCAAAATTTCGAAGAGGTCCTAAATACCGATTCGGTGTAAGTTTTGGAAATGTTTTCGAACGGGAGATTGATTGTGAGATCGATAATGAGATCGATAAAAAAATGGGTAAACAGATCGATGGTACCGATCGATAAAACGATCGACCAAGAGACCGGGGAACCGGAAACCCAGGAACCACGCCGCCCAGCGGAATCGGCCTGCAACCAACAAACGGGCACCTGGGAACCCGGAACCGGGAGTTCGATAGTGACATGGATAATGAGATCGTGGGATCGACCGTGGGATCAATAGTGTGAGGATGACAAAAACGTCGATCGTGAGACCAATAGTGAAATCGATCTCATGAGATCGATAGTGAGATCGATCGTGAGATCGCCCGTGCGATCTAAAGTGATGTCGATAAAGAATCGATTGTGATATCACTTGTGAGATCAATAATGAGATCGATCGAAAAATAAAGGTGAGACCGATAGATTGAGAGGGCGACGAAGAAACCGGAAACCCGGAAACCTGAGAACCCCGACGAAATCAGCCCGGAAGCAACAAACGGGCACCTAGAAGCCGGAACCGGGAACCCCGGAACCCGAGAACCTGGCCGCCTACCGAAATCGGCCGGGTACATTCGCCAAATCTTTCAATCTCCGCTAGGACCCCTTCAGTGCAAGCACTGATTTCTTCGTGGTGAGATCTATGTAGTACAACCTGTCAGGTACAATGTAGACGATCCAAGCTGTGAGGTGCGCATTTTGTGACGCAATTGAGTGCGGGCATCCGCGCGTGACCACATCCCATACTCGAGCAGACATTCTCGCCACGCAACCGCGACTCCTTGGCAAAACTCTATACACAATGAAAGAAAATACCCCTCGGAACTTGCTCGCACCACTGACGCCAGGACGTTGCTCATGCAGATCCATGACTCGGGAGGCCGAGAAGTGTTGACAACGACATCGGCGACGACCACCTCGAGAATGACGGTGGCGATGATGACGAAGGCGGCGGCAACCACGACGGTGATTGAGATCATGGTGCTGGTGACGATGGCAATCACGACGCTGGCAATGATGATAACGATGGTGCTGCTGAGGATGATGAGTGAGTGCGCGCACGCAGAAACCCTGACTGACTTCGGATCGGGAGCAACGTGGTCGAAAACTTGTGCATGCTTACAACATGCTTTGAACATTGCTTGCAATGATTCCGACTTGCGCTCGTAGAATGACGCATGTAGAAAAGTACTATTAGGCAAGACTTGGCGAGTGTGCGATGATTGTTGACTGATGTCGACAAGCGCGCACGTGTGGCGGCCCGCTTGCCGTTTGACATAATCTCCAAGCGAGCCGAAGGGAGGGGGGCTTCACGCAAAGAAAAAGGACATGAAGTACAGCGCCCACAAGCAGGCGCCCTGAGACTGCAGCGCCACGGCGGCGGCGCTACAAAGCCTATATCGAAAGGGTATCGACAGGGTATCGAAAGGAGGAGGAGGAGGAGGAGAAATGGAGGAGGAGGACGAGGAGGAGGAGGAAGAGGAGGGGGAAGGGGAAGGGGGAGGAGGGATCGGAAGAAAAAGGGCGAAGAAACACACAAGGAGCAGAGTCGGGGGGGGGGCTGCGCGCGATCCGACGCGGTCCGACGCGAACGGCGGTGCCCGGACCGTCGGTGCGCCGCGCCTTGCGCGGGCGCGGGGTGGGGGGGCCGCGCCGACGGCCAGAAGGGGGCAGCGGGGGCTGCGTCGCGTTCTCGGCCCTCCGCGCGCTCCTGCGAGAGGGGGGGGGCGGGAGAGAAAGAGGAGGAGGAAAACGAGGAGGAGAAAAAACCGAAGGAGGAGGAAGATAGGGTAGGACAGGAAAGGGCGGCGCCCAAGACAGGTTTTCGGGGAGGGCCAAGCCCGCCGATCGGACAATAATATGGTGTGTGTGTGTGTGCTCCATCGTTTGTTTTGTCCGCACCCCTGTGAGGGGCGACGTCTCGCAACGATGCCCGCGACAACGCGCTGCTGGAGATCAAACGCACGGGCCCACGCCACACGAACACGAGCGGGCGGGTGCCCTCGTGGTGGTCCCGCGCCGCCTCAAGTGCACAACTCGAGAGAGCGGGCGAAACTGCTGGACAGCCTGCAACTGCTGGCCCTGAGCCATGCGGTGTCGCGATGGGAGAACTGCGAGTAGATTTACGATTGGCAGGAGCGAGCGAAGGACGACGGGGGCGACTCGATCGACAACAGAAGGCACCGAAAAGGAAGGGGAGGAGGGAGACCCGAACGAAACATTTGTTTCAACATCTGTTGTCGACTCGTTCTTTTGGAAGGGTCTGGGCGCCCCTGCCCCGACGGAGGAGGTAGCCAGCGCTTGCCCGTGAGCGCGATCCCTGCGTGACTTCCAAAAACGTTCTCAGGATGGTGCCATGATTGAGCAAATCGCGGAGGAGCCTCGAATGACACCGCTGTGAGGCAGGGAGGAGGCAGGATAACCAGGGAGGAAAAACACATATTGGACGAAAGAGAGGGATCAGGCCCGAACTACTTGTCCGAGGGCACTCGTGACGAAGATGCCTCCTGGAAGCAGCGTCGAAAGTGCGAAGGCGCGCCGAGGCGCGGTGGAGGAATCGGGCACAAGGGGCAAGGACATAAGCGGACGAGTCCGCCTCACCAACGCGCGGCAGAAGAAAGGCTAGGCACCAGCTGCCCCTGGCAGGGACCAACGCGCGTCGCCGCCCCCGCGGCATCTCGGGCGCTCTACGCCCCTTTCGACAGCCGAATCAGGCGTGGGGGAGACGCGCAGGGAGGCCGCATCAGTGGTCAAGCACGGGGGCCACCGCCCCGCACTTCCAGGGGCTGTCGGGCCCCCCAGGGCCCCTGCCCCCAACCGCCCCGGCGGGCCCGCCCACGACGCCGCCGTTGGATCCCCATTCGGCCCCAAAGCCACCCCCGGGAAGCCCGCGCGGAACGCCAGAAAGGGGGGCCCGACAACCTCGCGCGCAGCCATCCCCATCGCTCTCGCCGGCCCCTCGGAACCCAGAGAGCCCCGCTGGCGAAGGCGCCGACGGGCGCAGGCGGCGCCTGAGGCGAGAGCAATTAAACTTGAGACCCGCGCGCTGGGCACCAAGACGCTTGGCCGCGAGGCACTTCCCGGCGGGCGCGCGCTGGCTGAGCGCGGCCCCGAAGGTCTTGCAAAATAACAAGGTAGGGTGGTTACCGGCATCGCCGTCAACATCGCAGGCCACAAAAGAATGCCCTTTTCAAAGCCACGGCCTGCCAGTCACCTCCCCCGCCCCACGCCCCACCCCGCACCCCCCCCCTGCGGGCGGCCTCAGGCTCGGGCGCGGGAACGCAGCCCACCTTCATCCATCCTGGGCGCTCGCGGGCCCCCAGACACTCGCCGAGGTCGGGGCCCTCGACCTCGCCCAGCTCCAACACTCCCCCGGAGGTGCCGACCACCCCGCCAGCGCCTGTCAGACCCTGGCCCCCGAGCCACGAACCGACGCGACCCACCCTCTGGACGCCCTCCTCCGCGCGCGCCTCGCAAGCCTCAGCTAACGACGCTCTCTGCGCAGGTGAGCCCCATAGGCCAGCACCTTTCTTGGGCCACTTCTCTTCAGCAGCGCTGCCCTGCCTGCGCCAAGTGTCAACGAGGGGGGAATCCGCACTGGCATCGGCGCGAGCCTTGACCCTGCAGAGAGTCGCCGAGCGGCCATGCTTCGCCCGCAACTCAATCCAAGACTGGTGATCGGGGCTCGACGGGCGCAAAATTTTTCTCGGGTCCGTGGCGCAGCCAACCGCGCCCGCGCAATCTGAACATGTGTATATATAGGGCCCTTCGAGGTCGGGTTGGGCAGAACACTTACACAGCATGCAGCGCGCGAAATCCTCGGCACCCATCGGGCTCTGACTCGGGGACCAGGCTAAGGGGGCAGCTTCGTGCATGGCGCGCTGGATGCTGCGGTCACGATTGGTGCGCACTGCCGACCAGCCTGCCCAGCGCAGGCCTCCGCGGGAGGTGGAAGACGAAGAGCCGCCCACGAACTCCTCCCCCAAGAACAGCCAACCTGGCACGCGTCCAACAAATCTGCACTGCTCAGCCTCAGCAACTTTAGCCAGGTCGGAGCAATGTTCTGGCGATGGCGTCACCCTTCGGGCAACTGCTGCAACTGCTCAGACTGCCGCGGCCCGCTGGTCGCTACTCTTTCGGCAGCCTCGCGCACGTCGGCCGAGCCCTCCTCCCTCATAATGATACCTGAGCAGGGGCCTTCAAAAACAATGTGCCGCATTGAGCCCACGCGTCCGCGCAGCCAGCAGAAAGGGTCGGCGGTCTTGCCGGCGAGGATGAGAAGCTGCTGGCGCCAGTGCGCCCCCGTTCTGAAAGACGCATGCTCGCGCCTCTTGCGCCGTGCCCCCGACGTGCCCTTCGCCAGCTAGGCCTGCGCAGGGCCCCGATGGACCTCGGCCACCGACGGGGCCTTGAGCCGACGCAGCGAGACGTCAGGAGGCCGCCCGGGCGGCCTGGCGGGCCACCTGGCACAAGAAGCCAGGCGAACGCAAAACAAGACCGGTTCACCTCTCCTGGCCACCGCTCGGACGTCCATTCCCTGTACTATGTTCGGTTTCGTGCGTGGTTCTTTTTCGCCAAATGATCAAGGATGCTCCTCGGTGGCCATCGCCGAAGGAAAAATGCGCACGTCCGAGCGACGCCCTGTCTCTGCCGAGGTAACCAGCGATGCTGTCACGCAAGTTCAGGCGGCACCCGGTGCGCCAGAAAATGAAAAGAGTGACCTGGGCTGGATCAACGCACGCGGTCCAAGGGCTGCGTCGCGACCCGATGTCCAATCCGTGCCAGTGGACCTCAGTCAGCACCGCTCCGCTGATCAGCCCGTCGTCGACGGTCGCCGCCCAAGCCTCGGCGTTTTCCGCGCAGCGCGCCGCCGGGGGGGCGCGGCAGGTTGCCCCCCTCTTCGTTCGGGCGCGCGGGCCGATGGGGGCTCCTGGGGCCTGGCCACCCTCAGCCCTTAGCGCGCAGGCCTTCGTCCCGTGCAGCTCGCCGTCGGCGATGCCAATGGCGGCCGAGCCCCGCGCCGCCGCGGCGCGCGGCGACCCGCGAACCGGGCGGCGCGCACTGGCCCCCGCCGGCTGCGGCAGCTCGATCCTGGCAGCCGCCTTGCGGGCCTCGCCCAGCCTCGGGTTCTGCTCGGGCACTCGCCGACGGTCGCCGACGTCGCCGCCCCCCCCCCCCCGAGGCGCCTCGGCACAGTGCGCCTCTGGAGCCCTGCAAACTCCCACCGCTCGCTGTGGTCCGCGGCGACCTCGGCGTCGGTGGCTAGTCGCCCTGTCTTGCCCAATATGATATTGAGGCGGCGCTGCTGCAGCCCCGCGATGAATTCCTGGGCCGCACTGCCCCGAACGCCTGCAGCTGGCAGTCGCCCGCCGGGCACTGCGCGCGAACGATCGGAAACCTGGCCGCGCTCCTCTTCAGCAGGGTGTAGATTAACAACATCCCACCGCGCGCGCGCCCCGCCGCCGCCGCGCCATTCGGCTCCGCGACGGGGCCGATCCCATTGCCCAACAGGACCCGCCATTGATGGCGGCGCAACGAGCGCCGAGCAAGCAGCAGCACCCGAGGGGAGGCCGTCTCCACGGCTTGCTCTTTCAGCTCGCGGTGGCCGATGGGCTCGCGGTACTTCGCCAAGTCAATCGCCGGGGTGCTGGCGGCGAACTCAGGTTGGGAGCCATGTCTGCCTTCTTGCGCGCCCTGCCGGTGCTGCCCCAGTGGAAGGGGGGATCGATCCGCTGTTCCCGCTTGGCCACCAGGGGCTGGGCGAGCTTCCACCGCGCCCTCCTCCGCGGAGTGGCCAGGATGATCGGTCCAACCTTCCCGGCGGGGGCCCGGGCAAGAACGCGCGACCAACGTCGGCCACGCGGGGTGCATTGCAGGCCTGCGCTCCTTCGCTCCACGTCTGGACGCCCATGTTCGCGCCAACGCCGCAATGGCCCGGTTGGCTCACGAGGCCGGGCCAAGTGGCTCGACGCCCCAGTCCGCCATCGCGATCAACGGACACCTCGGCCCAACGACCCACTGCATCAGGGCCTCCAGGTTCTCAACGTTGGCCCCCATCACCCCTGGGCTGCCCCGGAGGTGCACGGACAGGCCGTAGATCGGGAAACCCGAGCCCGCGTTGGCAGGGGCCGCGCGGCCTCGGTGCCCAGGGGGCCCAATCGCCAGGAGGCCAGACGCAGCAGGCCATGTGCCAGTCTCCGCGGGCAATCTCGCGCGCAAGGAGAAACCGGCCCCGGCCGCCAAGTCCCTTGCCGATTCGATGCGCCCTGGGGTCTCGAGGCGGTGCTCCCGCAGGCAGGCGATGCGCGACAGCCATTCCATGTCCCGCAACCGCTCTCCGCGGGGCCGAAGCCAGCGGTCCAGCCATTCACGTTGGCCGTGATCATATGCATATGCTTGCTCGCTTGGTGGAACGCCAGGCCTGGGCAGGGCGGGCCTGGCGCCCCCGCGTCGCCGCCGCGGGCCACCTCGCCGCCCCCCGCGGTTCTGCCATTATCCGCGCCCTTGGGCCGACTGCCGTCCGTCGACGGGGCCGGATCGAGGGGAAGCGTCGCAAGAACGGCATCGAACGGCCGCCCGTCGGCAACGTCTCTCGGACATCTGGCATGGGCCGCGCAGGTCTGCCACAGCTGGCCTCCTGCTGCTCTCCGAGCCCAGGGGCCGACTGCCGTCCGTCGACGGGGCCCGAAGGGAAGCGTCGCAAGAACGGCG